TTCAACACTTCTCTCTCAGTAACTGACAGAACAATTAGACAAAACAAGAACAACATAATTAAAAAACAACTTGATTTACACATATAGAGCACTGCAGAACATAAATCCTTTCAAGGGCATTCAGAACATTTACACAAAGTAGCATAGGCTGGTCCATAAAACAATTTCAACACATTTCGGTTGGCTAAAATAATACAAAACACGTTTTCTAACCACAGTACAATTAATCTAGAAATTGAAAACAAACAAAAAGTAGCCGATTTTTTTTCAAACAGCCATTTCTGATGGGAGTCCCTGCCCGGCCTCAAAGTCCCTCTGCCCTCGATTTTCCACCTCTTGGATTCTGAGCCCTGCTTTTTGGGTTCCTGAAATAGAAACAGCTCCAGCAGCACCACCGCCCTTGTCCGTGAGGGCGGTGGACTCTGCAGCCGCTGCCGAGATGCCCACGGAGAGCTCCTCCTCAGATTTGCTCAGAACTTCACAGTGGAGCTGTGAGCCCAGGGTGTTTTCACAGTGGAGCTCCCTGGGGGCCCAGGGTTTACTAGCAGACCTTTTTCGGTTTTGCCACCCTCCACAGAGCCCTGGACAAAGTGGCCCCGGGGAGCTAACCCAAAGGCTGAAAGTAAGCCAGTGCACAATGGTTGACACTCTACTGCTATCTGCAAATTTGATAAACATAGTTTTAATTCTTTCCCTCAGGACATTCAATCAAGCTATCAAACCTGTATTTTATCTGGCAACCCTGAGTCAATCCCTCTTCCTTCACCCCCATCCCCTGGTGACCACTGATTTCTGTCTCTATACTTTTGTCTTTTCATGAATGTCATATAAATGGAATTATACTGTACATAGTCTCTTATGTCTGGTTTCTTTCTCTTAGCATAATGCTTCTGAGATTCTTCAGTGTTGGTGAATGGATCAATAATCTGTGCTTTTACAAAGCTGAGTAGTAGTCCATTATGTAGAGGTACCACAGTTTATATATTCATTCAAACATTGATTATCCTTTGGGTATTTCCAGCTTTTGGTGATTATGAGTACAATTGCTATAGACATTTGCATTCAGACCTTTGTGTGGACATATGTTTTCATTTCCCTTGGGTAAGTCTCTAGGAGTGGGATTGCTGGGTCACACCAGTAAGAGTATGTCTAACTTTATAGGAATTAAACTGTTTTCCAAAATGGCTGTAATATTTTGCATTCCCACCAACAATGCACGAGAGTTCAAGTTGCTCTAAATTTTCGCAGACACTTGGTATTTTCATGTGGGGCATCGAATGGAGGCAAGTGTACTGGTTCAGGGGACCACTTCTGCTCTGTTTCTTACCTGAGTGCTGATTACACAGGGGGTTCAGTTGGTAAAAATGCATCGAGCTGTGACTTATATGTACACTTTTTTAGTATGTATATCAATCCTTAATAAGTTTTTAAACCATATTAAATATCTTCGAATAATTCCACTAAATTAAAAATGTGTAAAATTTAAAACATGCTTTTTAAAAATTTGAAATAAAAAAAAGCTCAGTATAAATCCATAGCAGGCTGGTTTCATAATCTTTAAGATTTTTTCCAGCTATCCATAGTATAGAAATGCAAAGCAAATTAAAAATTCTCAACATTATAAGTGCAGACAAGGAAGATCAATCCAAGAATGTGCTTATTATCATAGTTCAATCCTCATCAATTATCCATTTTCGTTCTCAAAATTCTCATAATTTAATGCCCTTAGTTTTCTGTTAGAGCACAAAATGAACCTTCGATTAATAAATAATGACAAAAAAGGGTAGGGCATGAAAGAAAGTGTTGGTTTTATTTCTTCCCCTAGGAGTAATAGTTTAGTATTCACTAAGTCAGTTCTCACAGAACCTTGACTAACCAAAACCACTGTGAGTAATGAGGATCGACCGTATGATGAAACCGAGGTGCAGAGTGTCTAGTCTAAGCCTCTTGGCAGCTGTCATTCAGCTAAAAAGTGAAGGAGCCAGGATTTGGGGCCAGGCAGTGTTACTACAGAGCCCTGTCATCTGAAATCTAGCCGGAGTTAAATTCAAATAACACTGTGATTCAACAAATAAGAGGACAAAGCTTTGAGCTTATTAGTTATTTCTGCATAGAAAGTATCGAAGACGATCTGTGCCCTGAGACAAAGGCTTAAAGATTTAAGCGTATCCTTCTCTTTCTTGAATTCACCAGCTGCCATCAGGAGAAGCTGGCCTGCCCTGCTCTACTCTTCATAATACTCTCCAAAAGCAGCCTTGCTGTTTCCAGAGCTGTGCTCAGTGGGCACTAGGTTCCAGGTGACCCCAATCCAAGGAAATCTGCTAGATTCCCCTATGAAAGAATGTTTCCCTGTATCCTGGACCATCTAGGCAAGATATTATCACTTAGCAACATCTTAGACTAGGGGTCGGCAAACATTTTCTGTAAAGAACCAGGCAGTAAATATTTTAGGCTTTGTGAACCACACAGTCAGTGCTGCAACCACTCAACTCTGCCCTTGTAGTTCAAAAGCAGCCAGACAATACACAATGAGGCATGACTGTATCCCTATAAAACTTTATTTATAAAAGCAGAGGACCAGCAGACCCCTGCTCTAGACTATGAGTTCCTTGAGAAGGAGGGTTGCGCCTTATCTTTGTAATCTCAGCCTTAGCAGTAAAAATTGTTCCTATTTTGCCAAGAAGGAAATGAAAACACAGTTATAGGCATTAATTTTTGAGGAAGGGAAGCATAGAACTACAACTGGATATTTTGGTGTATTTTCACTTGTGAACACAAACACTGCACTTCCCATGTTCGATCTGAGCTGGTTCGGAAAATTAAAGCAAACACAAAGCAAAAAAGATTTTTATCTTCATACACCTTACCAACTGGCCTAGGTCTCCGCAAACTCATCTTTTCGAGGTAAGTTCTACACAGCTTTAAACTATGAGGTTGAACTGGGTTGGGTGGTGATAGCCCTAAATTGCTTTTCAGGTGTGTCCCCAGAGCTCAGAGATAGTGAGTCTATCCTGTCTTTGCACACCCTCAGTGTTCTGTGTCTGGTTTAGTTATAACCCCAGAACACGTTATAAAACTGTCTGAAAATAAAGACTTTTGGTTTACTCCCGTGTGTAGAGGAAAGTTTCTGTGAAAAGTAACCTCACGGGGTGATCTGATCATAAATTTCTTAACGGGGTAGGTCATTGTGAGTAGGCATGTCCCACGCAGGTAACTTCTTTAGTAAAAGGTTTCTTTGCCTTAAGTCAGCCCTGTCCATTGTTCTTGTGCATCTAGGTTAACATACTTTTGAAATAAGCATAACCGTACACTCCATTGTCATCTGGCGTTTCGCAATTATAAAACACTTTGAGTCTCAGTTTCTGCATCCAAAAAATGGGGCCAAAGCACCTCAGTGCTATTGCAGTGATTAAATCACCAAATTTGCAGGTAAGCCGTTAATCCAACCACAGGGCTTGGCAAGTTGTAAACTACCATCCCTACTATTACTTACTAATAGGAACCGACCCCCCACCACTCTCCGCCCCCTGGGGCTGGATCTGGTCTGAGGGAAGAGGGCGGGAATATGGTAGGGTCACCCTCCCCAGCTCCGCCCCCTATGAGCCATGGAGCCCTAAGGGTCTGAGCTGAAACTGCCCCAGCCTGACACGCTGGATGCCGCAGGGAGGCGCTGACAGCTGGGGATGAGGGAACTCAGGAGCCACCACTACCCTACTTCCTCCAGAGACCTGTCTGAAATATCCACTTCCAGCGCCCGCCAGCAGCTGCGGGAGCCAGGGGGCGGTGGGCGGGGTGGGGGAAGCCACGCCCCTCACTTCCGGCGCACT